AAGGGTGCAGAAACGCTATATGGATATAGATAGGTTCTGTTTTCAAACAACCATTCTTAACTTGTTCTGAACATAAAAGAAGAAAACGTACTTTCATGCTTATCCATCAGTGAGATGAGACGCTCTTTAAGATATGACCCCACGGTGAATGCATTCTGTTGGAGCTTATCTTTTTCCAACACTTTAAGAACCGCTAGACCACCAGCTGTGCACACAGGATTCCCGCCAAAAGTGTTGAAGTAACTCCGGTCTGTTAAGACTTTTGCAACTTCGGCAGTGGTGACGACAGCTCCAAGTGGAATGCCATTTCCAATTCCCTGATAAATATACCAAATACAAAAGGCCATCATAAATGTATCCACCTCGATGTTGTTGGGATGGGATGCCAGAAAGAATATTACCTTTGCCATGGTAACAATATCAGGCACAACTCCATGGGCCTCAAATCCCCAAAAATGGCTCCCTGTCCGACAAAAGCCTGATTGGACCTCGTCTGCTATACATAGGCCTCCTGCTCTTCTGATACTGCTATAGACAGCTGGCAAGTAACCCGGGGCCAACTCCATTATTCCTCCAACACCCTGTCATTTAAAAAAAACAATAGTAAATTTCAAGGACAAATCGATTGCATGGATCATAAAATTTCTTGCGTAGCCGTTAGTCTTCCCTTCATCGGGAAGGACTGAGTCATTTTTTACACACTCCCCTGGTGGGGATCACCTATTCTTAAATTGTTAAGACCTCAATATGTTCAAGTACATATCTTGTGCTGAAGCTAATGATTGTTATTTCCTTAAAATCAACAAGATGTACACTAAACTATTTAGAGCAAGCATGCCACCACTTTTCTTTCTAGATTCGGTCCATGATCACGCCCAATTAGGGATGGACAATGCTCCGGTTCAGAACCAGAAAGGAGGAAACAGGAAACCGACCCAGATTAAAATGGTTCCAGTTGCATATTTTTTTATTTCTATCATAAAAAGTAGAAAAACGGTTAAGAATTGGAACTGAAGCCACAGAAAACCGAACCAGTTCTGGTTTTCCTACTTCCAGAAGTTCAGGTCCAGAACTGATGTGTGCAAAAATAGCCTGTGCAGCATGGCTGTCATAGGCTTATATTAGTACAACAACAATACCTGTATGGCTTCAGCAATAAAACCAGCAACGCGACCCGTTGTTCCATAAGTAATAATATCATCAACATCCCTGGCATATTTCGGTCCATCTGAGCCAAACATACCCCTATACTGATCTGGATTTAGAGTGTGGTGCACTCCTGTCTGTTGATTATAAAAACAAGTTAAAGTAATATGTTCTTTTATGCCACTTGAGGAATTATAGAAATGCTAATTAAAAATCTATAATGGCATTTATATGTACCTGCACTATGTTGAATTTATAGTTAGATTGGGCAGTAGCACTCATTGTAGAAGATGCATTGCCATGATAACCATTCCTTATTGAAACAATATCTTGACAACCAGTATACAACCTGGCCATTAGTAAGGCCAGTTCATTGGCCTCTGTCCCAGAATTGGTAAAGAAAACAACCTTTAAGAAAAAACACAAAAACAAAATTTCAGAGATATGGAAATGTACAAAGTTACAAACAAAGACAATGAGCTCATTTGGTTGGCATGGATTTTGTTATCACTTATCAGCCACATTTTCTAACAAATACTAACTATCCAAAAACCCGTGAATGCGTTCAGATTTTTGTTGAATCAGGAAATAAATGTTTTCCCATTTCTTTAATATATTTCGTATATTGCAGGTTTTTAAGGGTAAGGATGAAGGAACAGATAAAACTGTGTGTCATAGCACATGTATATCATTCTAACCTTCTTTTTGAGCAAATAAACACAAAATTTATAAAAATTGAACAAAGTAATCCCTTGAATTATATAAATTTGCTGTTTGTGATAGTTTGACTTTTCTCGTGTTTCGATGCACGACATTTAATTATTAGTACAGACGTACAGTCAATTGGCAATTAGTAAAAAACATATCCTGAAATTTTACATTTAGAAAATATAACAAAAGCTCTTATAATGTGTTTTTTTAATACATAAATAAAGAAAAGTAGGGGAATAATGTAAAAGTCAAAGTCTTGCTACTAATCAAAGAAGGGATGTAGCATTACGAACATATCTAATAGTTGAAGGGTCTAAGTCAAAGTCTTTGTTATAGATTTCAAGAGTGTATACTTGATTGAACTTTACATTGTGTAAGTTTAATTTTTACCAAAAAATGTTTTATACTACCTCCGTCCCGTAAACAAGTTCTCGGGTTGACTTTCACACATTTTAAGGAAATAAAGTTAATGAGGGGTAAATTTTACTGCTTTGACACTGTTTTGATGTAGATAATTTGCGAAGTAAGGAAATGAGAAGTTTATTTTGGGACATCCAAATAAGGAAAGTGAGAACTTGTCTCCGGCACGGAGGAGTATTATTTAATTCAAGAGTATACTTGTTTCAAATTTAAATTGTGTCTAATACAGAGCATTTTAAAAGTCTGCTTGGTAACATTGAAATTGGATGAATAGGTTGATTATGCTGTCTATTTGTTGTCTGCTCAAATTTATAGTAGTAAGTTCTTAAATAAGTGACTAGATTGACTGATTCCATTGATTCATGAAAAAAATAATACAGTGGTCAACAAACGGAGTATTAAAAATATATTTTATTAATAAAATAAATTTGAAATCATATGAAAATAACTAGAATAATTTGCAGTAACTTCAGCCCTTGAAATGGTCACCAAACGGAAGCTCTGGTTTGTTACTCCGTATTAGATAATTGAGCATGAAAGTAAAGGCTGGACCTTGAGATCACCGGGCATCTTTGATGCAAGAGCTTCTGCAAAGTCCGCGACTGTGTGATTGAGATACAATACAGTGGAATGCTGCAGACGCTTTGTTTGATTGACAATCGCCTCCACCACCTCAGGGTGGCAGTGGCCGCAACACACGGTGGCGATCCCTCCGAACGCATCCAGATACCGTCGCCCGTTCTCGTCGAACAAGTATTGCATCTTCCCGTCCACCAAATTCAACTGCACAACACAAACAAAAAGAATATATGGTTTGTGAAAAATGCGATCTTTTTCCTGAAGTGGGAAATATATAGCTCACCGGGTTCTTGAAGAAGTGGAAGATGGCGGGGTTGAGATAACGCTGGCGCTTCTGGAGGATCTCGGCGGCGGAGGGGCCGGTGTAAGGAGGCGGAGAGTAATCGAAGGGGGGCATTTTGGGGAGAACAGGGACATTTTCTTGGAGAGACGCGCTGAGAGTGGAGAAAGAACGGGGAGCGATCGGGGAAGGTTTTGATGGCGACGCCGCCGTCCGTCCGGCTGAGATGAAGAATTTCTTCATCTTCTCCGATCGAGAAATAAAACGCCAACCCAGCAGTGCTCGCTCAGTCCCTTACTCTCTCTCTGTGATAGACAGAGACCGAAACGACGGGGGAGAATTGTGAATATTCGAAGAGGACAGAAGAGTTGGAGGTAGACGACAATGGTCAGTACTGATTCGGAATCTGAGATCACATGGGCGCAAAAATGGACTGCTTCATCAGTTACAAAAAGTGTGTTGGAGATGAGACCTCAACTTTTACGTATAGCCGTCAAACTGATCCCAGTAATTGTGTTCTAATAAAATTGGTAATTCATCCATACGGAATTACGGATATACCATAGTAGTACCATAAACGCAAAAAACTTTTCCTTGAAAAACACACCAGTATTTTTATTCATAACAAAACCGTCATTACGTTTATAAAGATGTGTTTGGTAATTGATTTGATCACTTTTAGCGTTTTCAAAATGTGAAAAGATAGTTTGGTAAATAGTTATTTGACACTAGCGTTTTTGGACGAAAATATTGAAATGGAAACATTGCAAATAAGAAAGTTCTGGATTACCGTTTTAAAATATTGTGTTTTCTACTCCGTACTAATTTTGTGGTCAAACAATTAAATTGTCAAATATCTTTTGACAATGCGCTAACTTATTCCGCTAATCAAACCCGATGACAGAATTCACAATTCACAACCTACTAACACAATTCACTTTGATAAATGCCAAACACGGCCAAAAAAGAAATAGGATAGACTGATATCAGGTACTTCATGTGCAAATCATTCGATGGGTAGGTTTCATTTCCTTTTGTATTATAAATAAATAACTTATACTCCGTACTACGTATTAATATTAAAAATATGAAAAATAATCTTCAAACGGTTGTTATAAATCTTTTACGGAGTACGTAGTAGTAATAGTAAGCTTTAAGAATAGATATAGACGTAGTCACTACATAAATTTGACTCAGCTAGACACAAAATTGACAACTTTAAGCTTAAAACGGTCAGAAATGAAACATTGACTCTCAAAACAAGTACTATTAAGGTTAAACTAATACTGTGATAAAGCCTTTCATGAAATCTCCTATGGCAAGGAGGTGTTTTTGAAGGACTGCTATTGCAATATGAATGAATACTAAACCGTTCTTCCTGCTTTGTTCCCAATAGTCGTAGAAGCAAAAACAATCTTTATGACTCTTGCCAGTAGGTTCTATTTCTATGTTTGAAATTGGCGGAATTCACAAGATAAATTAAATAATGCAAAATAATCCACCCTTGTTCTAAAAATATCCTTCTGGTTTCTTCACTGCACACTACCATCACCCCTTAATCGCAAAATTCTTCGTTTGATTTCTTGTCTAATTCATTCTTCTTTGTGTTTCTTCGCTTATTATCCCTTCTTCTATGAATTTATTCTCTATATTGATCATTCATTCGATGCATTTTTTTCTTCACCTGGACAATCATTGTTTGAGATTTGTCCCACTTGCTATTCCGGTCAAGAATATGCGAGATTTCTTCCTTGGTATAGATATTTTATTCTACTCCCTAATAATTAATTATATGCACTTTAAAGTAAATTTCATACCATATTATTCAGTCATTCTTTCAACTTTTTTACCAAATCCATTTCATTCCGCTAGCAGTTTAGTTTCAAACACTTCAAATTTCAATCCCCATACAATAATTCATAATTCAAAGAGAAGCCTAAATTTCATACATTAACCCCCAGTTTGAACTCATAGTGCCAAACATAAGTCGTCTTGATTTCCATTCGTCCATGCGGAAAAGACATGTAGAATTGCTGCAAATTGTATCATATCCATAGAAATTGTACCAAATTGCAGAGAAAATATACGTTCATACTATCTATCATCATACTATAATTAAAGAGGGAGGGCACTGCGGTTTACCAGATACGGAGTACCAAATTAGCTAATTAGCTAATTACAGAATGAGAACTGTATTTCTTCATCCGGACTTTCGGAGTAGTAAATGAAAAACCCTTGTCTAATCACGATAATTACATCAAAAAGTCAAAAAGTGAAGTAAAACCCAGATCCAAGAAATCGAATCACTGATGAACTTCAAACTTCGATTGATTAATCACTACTGAGATCTGTCAGTCCGTTACCCATCATTGAACTGGTGAACTCGTCGTCGGTCAAATCGGAGAAGTCATTGAGACCCAGTGTGTAAGAATGATCGCCTTTGTTGAAAGAGTCGACAAACTCCGCGTTCTTCTTGAACACAAGAAATCGCTTGGCCTTCTCGGCTTCGTCGGCGTACGAACGATTATGGCGCACCATCCATTGTTCGTGGCGCTCCACCATGGAAGAAAGCTCTTCTTCTTCAGCGGTGATTTCAGATGCGGTGGACATCCCCACCAACAGAATCACAAAGACAGGTACCAACCAGGTGCCAAGCTTGGACACCATTTTCATGGACAGATCAGACCGAAATTATTGAGATTGAAGAGAGAATTTGTGATAGGGAAGATGGGCGCAGATTTATGCTTTGTATGGTGAACGAGTCAAACGACTTATTAAAGTTACTTAAGAAAATAAATTTGATTTTACTGTAGAGTGCACTGTTTGGCACTGTTTAGCATTGTTTGACACTGTTTTGCACTGTTTTGTTTCCTAAAATGAAAGTGAGAACTTAAATAAGGGACATTCTGAAAAGGAGAGTGAGAACTTTAACAAGTACTTCGGTACCGAGAAAATACTACATACATTCTCTTCCTTAAAATTTGCGGTACTTGCACTTTAAAGTAGAGAATTAACTTCAACGACACAAATAATTATATTTAGGGGACGGATATGTATTATATTTAATAACCTTATGGGTACCATAGAATTACCATTTAATAATTATATTTAACTATATATTGATGCTCTCACTTCTTTTGGGCACAAATTTAAATAAAGTGGTTGAAAAGGTAAAAGTTGTGGTTGAGATTTGAGTAGAAAAAGGTGAAATGATGTAGACCACATCTTTCTTTCCAAAAAGGGAAACATGACCATCATTTTGGGACATCCCAAAAAGGAAATACGGGAACATCATTTTGGGACGGAGGGAGTATCATTTTTATTCACTTGGTCAATACAAATCACTTTTAATCTCTTACTTTATACGGTTACTTTATACGGTAGTATATCAAATTTTTGTTAAGCTTGATTTTGATTTTTGCGACTTTGTAAAACTTTTAATTTAGTTTCTGAATATGTACTTTTTAAATAATGTGAATGCGGACAGAGATCTGTTTGCTTTATCGTCAATCAAATATCGTAAATCGGATTAGGGGTGGGCAAACGGGTCTTGGAACCGCGGTCCGGTCCGGGTAATGGTGGTTTGGGTCCAAAATGGGCCGGTTCCATTTTTTGTTGCCATAAAACGGTCCGGGTAGGTCCGGGTAATTTTTTTTAAAGACCCAGGCCGGTTCCAAAATAAAAAAATACCGGGTACCCGGCCCGGCCCGGCCCGTTATATATATTGTATACAAGTATTAATTTATTACTCCATAATAGTTTTGTGATAATTGGTTTTGAAATAGTTTTGTTTTCCTTTGCTAGAAGTAGGATTTTAAATTGAGTTGCAGTAACATCATTTTGCTGTCAAATTATTGATTAAATTTTACATAAATTTCTTATTACTTTTTATTGTTATTGAATTATTTCTTTCTATGAAATTTAATTGTTTGTTAAAAAAGATTTTGTAATATTTGTATTTATAATATTGTTCTTAAAATACTGAAAATTTAAAAAAAAAACAATCACCTTAATATGTGATGTTAGACAACATTTTAAATTCAAATGTTAGAAAATATGTATTTTGGCTATGTTGTTGATTGTTGGAACTTTTTTAATTGTTTGGAACTTATATACATGAAATTATGGAGTATTGGACTTGTCACCTCTGTTACATGTGCACCACTATGTTGTTATTTTGAAACTTGATAATGTACTATATTATTGATTATTGATTATTGATTTTTGAAACTTTGTGAGTTTTTACTAATTTTAAGACTTAAGAATAGAAACCGTAAAACCCGGACCGGACCGACCCGTTTCAAACGGGTCGGGTAAGGTCCGGTTCCTATTTTGAAAAGTGCATTACCCGGACCGGACCGTACAGTGGAACCGGCGGTTCCATTTTATTTTGTATTACCCGCCCCGACCCGGCCCGTGCCCAGCCCTAAATCGGATTGTCTCATTCTTAGTGGGATGGATGAAGTAGTAAACATTAAAAAAGTTAATATTTTCAAAATCTACATTACTAAAAATTAATAATATTTTATACATATTAATTTGATTATATATATTATTAGAAAGTCGTAGCAAAGTAAGGTGTGTAAATAATGCAAAAAATCCAAATGTTGCAACTTTTAAGGAACGGATGAGGGAGTACTTTTTATTTTGAGGGATAATATAGAAATACTTTGCTTCGTTGTTTTTGTTAAATAATGAATCGTAGATTATTCATATGCTCTATTTTAATGACATTTTATTTATTAATTTATGAGAACTACTCGTATTTTGTAAAATAATATTGTTCAATTAGTTTCATTGTAAATTTTTAAAACATCTTTTTTTTTTCAAATAGAGAATAAGATATATTTACAATTAAATTGTGTGTTGGCAAATGTACAAATTAGACGGGTGCAATTAAAAAAGAATTAAGGAAATAGTAACATATTTAGAAAATCAATAAATAAAATTGGCAAATAGATCCTCATGTTATAACAAAAGATTGCAACTAAAATCTTGTGTTCGAAAACTATCTTATAAAACACTCATTTAGAGCATCTCCAATGTCCTTGATCTATTGCATGTGACATTACAAAAATATAGACAAAGTCTATTAAAAAAATAAGGAAGGTGCATTGCATACATCTCATATGGAGGTTGAGCGGAACAACAAATGTAAATGCAAGATAAAAAAATGAAAAATAAGGTGTAAAAGAAATGAGTGGCTATAATACACATAGGTCCACCATTTCCTCTCTTTTTTTTGTAGTGCCAATGTGCCATTGATAGACCTTGCTCTATGCCATATACTAACTTCTACCTTCTACCTTCCTAACTTAAAAACCTTCCTATTTCAAAAGTAGGTAGATTAAGAATAGTGAAAGATGATATGAATTATTGAGGGTATGATGGGAAGATAGATGAATAATGTAATGGAATGTAGGATAAATAAAAAAAAGTAGTTGTAATAGTGTATTATTTTAAGAATTATTGGGTGTATGATGAAAAGATTGAGAAATGGGAAGATTTTTTTGTTACGGACGAAAAAGAATAGTAGGAAGATTTTTTTGTTACGGAGGAAGTACAATACACCGTGTATTTCCTTTTGTGCATTGGAGAAGCCAAGTGTATTTGATAAGTGCATTTACGAATCACAACTCATCTCAACATTGAAGATGCTCATAGAGACTCATCATCTTTAGAGACACCAAACATATATCTAGTGGATGACCAAATTGTTCATTTTGTGTTCTTACAATTTTGTGGGCTTGATTATTTTTTTATTACGAGAGTTTAATTGTCATTTTTCAATACGATGACTTATTTGTCCTTTTCCCCAAATTGTTTATTTTGCGTTCCTAGTATTTGACCTTTTCCCAAAATCAAAGGCAACATCAGATTGGACGGGCGACATAGAGTTGATTAACTTTTGTACGGAGTATATAGTTAGGATTGCTAATTATTCAATTTAGTAAGGATGTTTTCTTTTGGACTGTTTTCGGTCCCAGACCAGACTTAAACAGACCAGATCAGACCAGACCTGACTTCGATAGTTATAAAATATACAGAGACCAGCCGTTTATCAGACCAAACCAGACTAGTTCAGAACAGACCAGACCAACAAATTTCAGTCCTAAAGAAATTCGGTGACAAGTGTTATTAAAATGTGTTTCACTCACTACTTAGGGTAAGTGATATGAGCTCCTATTTTTGAGGTGATTCTTCTTCTTTTTTATGTTTAATCGTTTGTGGATCCTTCATAAATCTTCTCAATTAAGTTAACATTCTACTACAAATTGTCTTCTACTATACTACGTATTCATTTTTATTCATTCACTCGATCCATCCCGTCAATTTGTCTTACTTTAAACTATCAATTTTTTACATAAGTTTTTGATGGCCTGGTGACTGGTGAGCTGCTTTTCAGCAAAGTTGTATTATACCCTATATTTCAATTTAACATTATGGGTTGTATTTGGTATTCAGTTTTAGAAAATGAAGTTATACAATTGAAATTTCTCTCGAAAGAAATAGAAGAATACGAATCACAAAACTTGTTAAGAGTTTATGATGAGAGTTTAATTAATGAAGCTTGTTAAGGACATGTGAACGAACATAAGCGACTTTTGAGTACTATTAAAGACCACATCTCATAAGAAAAATGATAAACAGAAAATTATATGAAATACAAATTTGAAAACAAGTACTTAGAGCATCCGCAATGCACTAGTCTCTAATCTAAATAAACTATGCCAAATGTCAATTAAGTAAAAGGCTTTCTTGATATAGTGGAGTGACTAGACGGAGAAATAAGAAGGTAACCTCCAATGCATAAAGTCCGAAAACACAAATTAGGAGTCCATGTGGAATTTATTACTCCGTATATTAATACTTTTTCGATTGCGGTGTTAAATACGGAGTATTGGTACAGAATATCGGATCCCGTACCTCTTTTCTTTCACTACAGATAGATCGTCCCTCAAATAGTTGGTCTTCCTTAATTCCAATATTGTTAATAATATTTATAGCAGGCATGAGTGGAAGATGTGGTAACAAATTGTAAGATCCACAATTTGTCCATTGTCGGTGACAATGGACAAAGTTCAGGGCTTTCTTGATATTCTTACTCCTAAACTCCTAATTAATTAATATCATCAATGACAATATGACATCAAACACTCGCCCCTTTGACAATACTCAATTTTTTGAGGAAATATTTGTATTTTTTAAGGTCACTAAGCAGGTATAAATAAAAGCTAATTGAACGTATGGATACTTCATACTTGCTAACCTCGGATAGGAGTCCAAGTTAGCATTACTAACGTACATATACTTCGAATGATGCAAAGAATAACAAATACAGAAAGAAATCATCTCGAAACCAATGATTTAATGTGAGAAATAAAGGAAACTCACATCCCTCCCGAACCCCAATCCAACTATCCACGAATGGCCCTCCCATATTGAGGTTTGGCACAACTAGCTGAAAAGATACTTTTGTGAGCTTTTTAGTAACCGTTAGCTTTTAGTTACTGAAAAGATCTTAAAAAGAAAAGGTGATAGCTGTTTGGTAAAAAGCTGACTGTTTGATTTAGTTTGGTTTGGTATACAAGTTGTTAGGACTAATTAATACTAAAAGTCACGAGTTTTTCTCAGATGCTACACCCGGTAGCATCTCAAAAAAGATCTTTTAATTTTTGAAAAGCTCTTAAAAAATGTCATGCCAAACATACAAGTAGAGTCTTTTAAGATCTTTTTAAAAAAAAGAGAAACTAGAAGGCAGGGGCTTTTGTGTGTCAAACATGACCTCAGCCGTGTAGGATTTACACATTTCTGATCCGGTTCTGTCTGAATCATAAAATCATTTCAACTTGGTTTGGTTTGATTTGCATTATATAACTACAAGTCATACTCAAATGCGTTTGGTAAAGCGAAGCTGTGTTTGAATAGTTTTTCAAGGGTTATACTCAAATGCGTTAGAAACTCATCTCAACATTATCTTAAATACTTGAAAACTGTCCCTAACCTACATAAAAAATGTCATTTAAGTCCTACAATAAAATCACACAATTGAATCCTTGAAATAGCAAAACACACCCAATTGAGCTTTCTAGCCAGTCACCTCTCGGTCAGTTCATTGAAATGTATTTCCATGTTGTAATTTTATTTCTTTTATAGAAACGGGCTCTGATCGAGGCCGAAATTTACCGCACAAAATTTCCGACAAAAGGAAGTGAGGTGGAGCCGTACGATTTCTATAGATGAAGAAATCTGTCGAAAATTACCAATCAAATTGGTCTTTGGGGTTTATGGTTTTCTAAACTTAAAAACCCCTCCAGTTCCTACATTTGGAAAGGTTTGCAATCGGTTAAACATGCCTTTGATAGTCTTACTACTTTAGTGGTTTGTAATGGTCATAGCTCCTTTTGGAATTCTAATTGGACTGAATTCGGCAGGTTGGTGGATTATTTGAATACTGAGGAGGCCTTACATCCGCAAATGACCATAAGAGAAGCATTTTCTCATCCCACTTTCTTTTATGATATTAAGAATATCATTCCGGAATACATTGTCAACACGATCTTGAGTACGGCTCACCATTTCTCTGGGCACTGTGATACTGTTGTTTGGATCCCGAATCCCGATGGCTCCTACTCTTTCAAGAGTGCCTATGAGGAAACCAGACCTAAAAGACCCACTGATGTCCTCACCGGTAAAATCTGGAATAGGAATATCCCGACTAAAATCTCCTTTTTCATGTGGAAGGTTATAAATAAATTGCAACCGTTTCAGGAACAATTCTTACGTTTTGGTAAGCATGGCCCCTTTAAATGTCCTTTCTGTAACAATTTTGATACCCAAAATCATTGTTATATCTCTTGTGAGTTTAGCTCTAAACTATGGTCTCATTATGGAAACCTCTTGAAAGTCACTTTCAATGTTTCAGACTCAACTAACAATGTTTTAAATTGTTGGTTTTCTGCCCATGAAGACTTTCAAAATCTTAAAACTCAGGTTGCAATTTATATATGCTGGACCATTTGGAAGCGGAGAAATCTTTATCTTTATGATGAGAAAATTTTCCATATTTCTGAGGCTATTGAGTAGATCAATAAGGAGCTTAGGGATGCTAGTGTGGCCTTCCCCATTATTAGTGCTATTTCTAGCCCTCCTCTGAATGACATTAAGCTGGTCAACCCAAAGGTGAAAGCTAAAAAGGTCAAAATCTAGAATGCCACTTGGGTCAAAAACCCCGCTGATTTTATTAAAATTAACATTGCTTCAACCAATTTGAGGGATGGTGGGACCGCCATGGGTCTTATCATTCGTGATGACCATGGTCACCCTTTACATTACCTCTCGAACATTTATTATCATGATAATATTACTGCCAATACTTGTGATAGTCTGATCAATCTTAGAAAGTATCTCAACGAAAGAATTCACACTAATGTTATAATTGAATGTGATAACTTGCAGGTTTTTCGGACTCTTAAAGGAATGGCTAGACCGAGACGGAAAGAGATAACCAACTTGGAAGCTTTTAAGGAAGAGTTTCACAATACCAATCTTAGCTTTACTCACGTTAAAAAACCATGTAATCGAGCAGTTAGTTTCATTGCTAAATATCTTGGCACATTTCAAAACAACCCGAACATTTATAATAACTTTGTAGGCATTGTCAAGTTTGATGCAATTAGTTATCCGTATGTTGTTAATTCGGGTAGGTATTGGCTATAGTCCCCCTACCGTGTAATCCTTTATTTCAATAAAAAAAAATTCTTAAAAAATAAAAATAAAAAATATTGGAATGCAAGATAACCTCCGAAGTCTTATATCCCTCCGAAGTTTTCATTCAATGTCTGGCTTGCTATGAGGGACCGGTTACCTACACAAGATAACCTCGGTTACCTATATATTGTTAATCGTTGTGACCTGTGCAAGGGTGGATTGGAAACAATGCCACACCTATTTTTTCGTTGTCATTACACTTGTAGGGTCTGGGAAAAAATTAAGGAATGGTTGGGCATGACTCGAGAGATGACCACGCTGTGTAGCTCCGTCAAATGGATCTTGAAGGATCATAAAGGATCAAAGATCAAAGGGAAGGCTGTCCGGATTGCGTTTGGTGCCACGGTTTACTACCTTTGGCATGCTTGGAATGCCAACCGATTTGATGAGGGGGACGTCAAGGAAGAGGAAGTCATTGCAAAAATCAAGCATGTGGTGTATAAAATACTTTTCAATTTATACCCACATGACTTGATTACGTTCTGAGCAGAACGCCGCGGCGTGGATATTATGGATGCCGAGGTTTTGGATAGACCGCTACATGTTTGTTTGGTGCGCCGAGGCATGGATATTATGGATGTCGCGGCTTGGGCACTTGGTACACCGCGGCATGGACATTATGGATGCCGCGGCATGAAGCATGGTCTTGGACTTTATGGTGTTTGATTTAGCAACACCTTTTGTACTTTGTTTACAATTTAGTCTCTGATCTGTGTGCGTACATGGGCAGCATCGATGTATTTTTTTGAACGTCTTGATGGGCCAAGTACTATACTTGGTTTTTTTGGCATAGATTAGATCAAATAAAAACTTCCTTCACCCTCACAATATGTGGGGGTGGAGGAGGTTTTAGGAGATCTAGGATATGTGATGTATAGTTTTTCTGGGTGTTAATATATATTTACATTTCATCCACAAAAAAAATGGAATGCAAGAAAGTTCTGGCGGTCATGCCTTGGACTCTTGGAGGAAGAGCAGAACTCTCCTCTCCTCACCCAGCTTTGTGTAGGGGTGGGCGCGGTCCGGTCCAATAATTTGCCGAACCCGTATCCGTACCGTGTCTATTGAAACGGTTTGGTTCGGTACCGTTCCATTTTCAAACGGGACAGTACCATGTCATACCAATAATAAACAATGTCACTTTTTCCAAGTGTTTAAGGGAAAGTTAAAGTTTAATCATCCTTCAAAAATCCACACAAGTTATCAAATTTCATACTCCGTATTACATACTACCTCCATCCGAAATTGATTTGCAAAGCCAACATTTTTTGGTCAAACAATTCCTTTTTATTCACTTAATTAGGATATCACTTTTTAATATATTCTAATTTGACCTTTCAAAAAAAGTATATTCTAATTTGGATTTTGTAATTTGCAAGAGATTTTAATGTGATTTCTATATATGTAAAATTTAATTATTAAAAATTGTATTAATTATCAATAGAGAGGACATGACATTAACTTTGGTTGACAAAAAAATATTAACTTTGCACATCAAATTGGGACGATTGAATTAATTAATAAATTTCAGAGAAACTATAGTAGTACAAATTTAAATAATTAAACCATACTTTGTCTAGTTCAATCTGATACTGATTCTCATTTTATGAGAACCCGTCATGGCATTATTTGGAACCGGTACGGTCTGATTCTGGACAAAAAAAATTCAAAATCCGTTTCAAACCTCATTCATCGGTCAGGTACCATACCGGTTCGGTATTTTTGTCTACCCCTAGCTGTGCTAGCTGTGTGCTTATGCTTGCTCTCATGTTCTCCGGCAATTTTCCAATTCACAGGGATTATTTTCACGAGTTTTGTTGATTGTAAAAATTCTTTTTATTTTTTAAATACATAGTAAAAAATACTCCGTAGTCCATAGAACCAGATCTGATTCGTTTTTTCTTGCATACGAGAAGAAGATATCGTTTATTCGTTGTATTTTCATGTTTTTAGCAAAGATAGAAATTCGAAGAGAGACTGAACGAGAAGAAGAAATCGAAAGCATCACCTTGACTCGCTTCCTAGCAAAAACTTCCTTTCCATCTCTGAGGAATACGAAGAACATTCTAAAAAAAGATGCAGAAAAAAGATACAAATTTAAAAAATGAGTAAACTTAAGTTTGAGATCCGCACCCAATCTTATTCAACTAAAGCAGGAAATAAGCAATTCAGAAAATAGTTTGTGGTAACAAAAAAGCACAGTAAAAAACAAAGAGGGGGAAGATGATTGATTGGTTGAAGAAGATAGAAGGAAGCGAAAGATAGCACGGTAAACTTTTCCAAAAAATAACACCACCTCAACATCCACCGAAGCAATCAACCGGCTAACTTATTAGTGACCAGATAAAAAACTGTATTGGGTGTGTTTTTATAGTTAAGGTAATTAACATTTTTTTATATAGTGTAAAGACTTATTTGACAGTTCTCTAAATACTTCAAATTTCTCCAACTAAAAATTCTCATCTAGCATTGGAACAGGCACTGTGAATTGTATGCGACTTTTGCACTCCAACTTCATTTTGACTTGAAAGGCCGTACGTCGAGTATGCTAGTTACATAACTATTAGATCATTAGAACTATAAGGATAAATATCAAATGAGCAAAAAATCTAAACAAGTGACAACTACTGAATACCCGACTCCGTACAACCAAGCATAAATGATTTTCTATTCCTCATTTATCAAAAGCACATTTCTAAACAAAATGACCTCAAGCACACGACAATATTGGGGTGGGCATCCTTCCCGATTTAGATTCAAAAGCACATTTTTAAACAAAAATGACCTCAAGCACACGACAATATTGGGGTGGACATCCTTCCCGATTTAGATTTTAGATCGGAAGTTGTGGTTCTGGAATCGGACGTGGAACTAACTGATCGGGGGAAAAGTAGGAATCAACTGTTCTATAATCAATTAACCACAATGCATGAATTAATGGAAAGGGAAGCCAGAGCACAATTCAATATTGTACATGATAATGTATAGTTAAAACTTAAAACTACGAATAGATATGCGTACCTACCTACAAGAACACGCTTAATTCTGAAATCACCACTAATCTTCTTCCTCATCAAGATCTTCATAATCATACAATTCACCATCATCAACGCTACACATATCATCTTCAAGAAACAGATCCCCATCACCTGACAAGTCACGGCAATCCAAACCCTCTCCATTATGAGAAGATATATCATCTCCGCTTTCATCAGAGGAAGATTCGCTCTCAGCATCTGACTGGTCTTCATTTGAGGATTGAGTTCCACTTTCATCCTCTTCCCCAGATGAGTTTTCTTCAGGGTAATCATTCCGTGGGTTGTTTTCATCTGAGATATACAAATACGTAATGATATTAACCCCACATATGAGAGCTTCAAATGGCATAATTTGCAAATAAAAAAAGTTGATATGATAAGAGATACCGTTAGAATCGTCAGTTTCATATTCTGGATCATCTGGACCGTCGTAGAAGTCATCCTCATCATCAACTCGAACCCTGTAAAATCAAATGCACTGTTTTATATAAATAGTATGATGAGAAACTAGGGGTTTAAGTTACGAATACAGCAGCAAGTTCTTACAGAGGAAAATGGTTAGTGGTTGCTTCTTCCATGGTGTCAACACCATCCTTTATGGCATAGAAATCATAGACATACCCATCTGAAGATGCTGCACAAAGACAAAAAATTCAGCGAATATTGATAAACATTTTTTTATATAAAATAGATATCACTGAAAAAAACAGACGCAATACATTAAAAACAACCATGCCACAATCACCAATCAATTACCTACAATTAACTGAAAATATTGAACATTCCACATCAATTGTATAATGTGGATTGGGAATAGTATATAAATACAGAGTATAAGCCTAATAAGGTAAACCTTATATTCTAAAGAACCTTTTGGGTAACATAATTTAACATGGTTTGGTCCAGTGGTGGTTTGTGGGGATGCCCACACACTTAATAGAATAATAGCTTGAGGCAGTTCTTTGGGGGATTGGCTTGGGTCAATTAGTCTACCCCTTAAGTTATCCAGTCCTATTTAGGTATTTAGGTTCAACTGTTCAGGGGGGTCTTGACTCTTGAGCATCCTACATTACTGAAGTATTCATGTCATTTTCATATCTGTATGGAACTTCAAAGATGCTTTTGGGATTAAGGCTTGGATGTTGTTGTATGGAACTTAAGATAGAGATTGACATCTAAAAGCCCCCATAAGAAGCAAGAATGTAACTTATGGAAAGTCTCAAAACCCCAACAAAGAAAATAGGGAAAACCTCTTTTGGAGATATAGTCGTGCATATCAGACTCAATTTCCTCAGCAGCACTTGGCATGCATTCTCTTAAAAGCGGCAAATACTGTGACATCATTCTATGATCTTCCAACTCCTCATCTCTGCATGGTGCACATGCAAACAGGCACAATCTAGGTTGTAATTCTCCTTCGAAAAAAACATACTCCATATAATGAAGCATAGACTAAAATAACAGCTTTGTCCATCAAGAAATGAAACATACCCTTCAGGGAATTTATGAGGATTTTCATGTGTATCAACACGAACAACATTATACAGTCGGCACACCTCATTGAGTGCATCATCGTGCATATAATCCTTTCCTCGCCTGCTTTTCCATATTTGCTCAAAACGAGCATTTTTTGACAAATCCTGGAAGTATGATATACAACAATAATTGCAAATTTATAGACCTCTTATTTATCCAACTATATGGGGGGCAAAGGTATTAATCATCTGACTGCTTATAAACTCATAGAAGGGTTTGAGTTTTACCACTTGTTTTTGTTTAGCTTTTGTAAGAAGTTGTCCTTGCCTTTGCACATGCTACATAAAAAATGCCACCAAACAACAAACACCATTAAACTTAACCCATCACAATATTTTCACATATAGACAATGGAATAAATCTCGGATTTTTTACAAGAATATTACTAAAATAAAACTTATTTACATAAATATGACTATTCATTACTACAACGTAGTGTTGTGGTAACTTAAGTTCAAAACTTGAACATGAATTACTATTATTTCATTACTACTCTAGTAACTAGTCATATTTTTGTAAACCATCTTTATTTTGGTCATATTTATGTAATTATTTCATAAATCTCAGTAGACTTACATTGTCAGCCTTGAAGGTGTGTCTTCTTCCCTCAATTTTCTCTTTGACTATTGAAGAACTAGTCGAGTCGCACTGTTAAGAATACAAAATCATCACATAACTCATAGCATGATTGATACAATGTGTTTTAACCAAATGAAGAAGAAAACAGAGTTAACTAAAAAACAACTACTAACCACAAGAAAGAAAAATAATGGGAAACAGATGACTAAATCATAAAACGGACAAATAAAATACTAACCACAAAAGACAGCACAAGATCAGCAGTGACTTCTGAGCTAATTACAGTCTCAACATGTTGAACAAAAACCTTTTTTGTCTTCAATTCCTCTACACAATTGGGAACGCATGGTTTCAAAACTCACAAAGACAAAACTATATAGATACAGTCATACAGACGTATACATATCGCAATTTGAAGAATTGACACACCTTTGGAAGAACTGGAATCAGAAACTGATAGCTTCTCAAAGTCAATCAATGGCCGCTTGAATGGTCTCTCATTGATTTCAAGCCCTTAAATCACCAAAGATGCAATGCAATTATATAACAAATGCTTTCTTCATCACAGATAAATGACCATAGAGGGGGAAAACCATTTCACCCTAACAAGAACTCACAGAAAGCATCGAGACGAGACTGTGTTGCCTTTCTCTTAACCCTAACAATCACCGGCTTGACATCACCCTTCGGAGTCTCCACCGTAGCTGCCATTACTGAGGGTTTCGCTAGCATACACAAAACTGAATGAAATTAAAACGGGAAATTCCAGAGTTGAGCTAGGATAATCTGGTCCACATTTTGGGCTTATATATCAATTATTTTCTTGAATAGTATCAATTTCACTTAATCGTATAATAATCATAATATGTAAGTGTTAAAAAATGTGACATATTATTGTATTTTTTATTCTATGTACATCCGTTGCTGTATAGATTAGAATTAGAGCTGATAGATAGCTTTAATTAGTAGATAAGAACGCAGATAGATAGATAGATCCTATTTTTTAGGATCTGAAACAGAATAGTTGTTATCTATACTCTGTATAAATACTTCAGCCGCATGGCTCAATATAATTCAAGGAAGATTAATTCCTCAAACTTACATGGTATCAAAGCCTCGGTTTAAAGAAAACAATGGTAGAAACCAGTGATTCTGATTCCTCACACACTACCAACCCTAACTCCCAAATTAGCTCCATGACAAATTACCAGTCCCCTATTCATTCATCTATGATAATCACTAGTCATAGATTGAATGGAACAAACTACCTGGAATGGTCTCAATCTGTCAGGCTCGCAATTGATGGGAGGGGGAAACTAGGCTACCTCACAGGAGAAATCAAACCTAAATTACCTGGAGAGGAAGGATACAACACATGGAGGTCAGAGAATTCACTCATAACAGCTTGGCTTCTCAGCTCCATGGAGACCCTAATTGCCAGACCTCATATGTTTATGAAAACTGCAAAAGAGGTATGGGACTCTATTAAGGAAACATATTCAGATCTGGAGAACTCTTCTCAAATTTTTGAACTCAAAACCAAGTTGTGGCAGTCTAAACAAGGAAATAGGGATATCATTTCATACTACAATGAAATGGTATCTCTGTGGCAAGTATTAGACCAATGTATGATAATGAAGAATGGGAAAGTGCTAAGGATTTAGCAAGACATAAGAAAAGAGAAGAGAATGATAGGGTCTATATGTTTCTAGCTGGAATTAATAGGGACCTAGATGAAGTAAAAGGCAGAATACTTGAAAAAAAACCTCTAGCTTCAATCAGAGAGGTTTTTTCTGAGATCAGGTTGGAAGATAGCAGAAGGAGGGTCATGAACAACACTCCAGTACCTAATGAGGAACCTGGGGACTCATCAGCTTTAGTGGCCAGAGGTGATGACAGAAAAAAACCTTGGTGTGATCACTGCAAGAAATTGTGGCACACCAGGGAAACATGCTGGAAAATTCATGGAAAGCCACCAGGAGCTGGAAAGAAGAAATTTGAAAGGGCTCTACAAACTACTGTGACTGAGACTCAACAAGAGTCAGAGGTTGACTCTAAACAGCTGCCTTTCACAAATGAACAGATAGACTGTCACGCCCCGGACCGCGTCCGTGCCACGTAGACAACCGCCGTACAACCCAATAAGAACAACGTAGTTCATCCTTATCAAATCATACAAGGCGTCCGTTGAGTTCTATTGCCAAGCCGATTAGTAAACCCATACAATCAACATCAATATATATTAGTCAAACAAATGCGGAAAATAAAATATGTTTGATACTGAGCCACACGTGGCAAATACGGGCACGCAGGCCCCCAAATGTTTTAATAGAAAACATTGTTAAAAATATCCATGAGCAGTTTATCAGTTTTGAAGATGAATGGAAGCACGAACCACGTCTTCCTCCTTGATCAGTCACCCTAGGCAAAGGTGCAGGTAGTAGGACTCTAGCCTTAACCTGAAAAATGTGAGGGCCCCCGAAGGGGTCAGTACTCCATAGAAGTACTAGTGACAAGCAGGCTATATGAGGAATAACTAATGTTTCAGACACGAGACCCAAAGATAGGGTGGTACATATACTTATAGGTGTAACCATTGTTACCCCATCCCCAAGATAATACATACCGTATATACTTGTAAAATACTTGACTCGTAGGTCATTTTCTCACAAAAGAGTCTTTTAGAGACAAGGTACTTACCCAACCTTTCCCCTTTCATTCCTGAATGCCTAGCTTAAGAGCTACATTCTACCTTCATAATATCCTACCGAGTTTCAGGAGTGTTAACCCTCCCGGGGATACTCAACCCCAACCGAGTTTTGGGATCATTTACCGTCCCGAGGATACTCAACCTCAACCGATTTTTAGGATCATTTACCGTCCCGAGGATACTCAACCTCAACCGAGTTTTAGGATTGTTTACCGTCCTGAGGATGCTCAACCTCACCGAGTTTTAGGATTGTTTACCATCCTGAGGATACTCAACCTCACCGAGTTTTAGGATTGTTTACCGTCCTGAGGATGCTCAACCTCACCGAGTTTTAGGATTGTTTACCATCCTGAGGATACTCAACCTCACCGAGTTTTAGGATCATTTACCGTCCCGAGGATACTCAACCTCAACCGAGTTTTAGGATCATTTACCGTCCCGAGGATACTCAACCTCAACCGAGTTTTAGGATCATTTACCGTCCCGAGGATACTCAACCTCAACCGAGTTTTAGGATCATTTACCGTCCCGAGGATACTCAACCTCAACCTTATTTCTAACCAAACCCTAACCTGGATATGGCTAACCTTTCGTTTACTCAACTATGGACAATACCTGGTCCTATAGTCATATAACAATCCTTAGTAACCAACGTGGACGGGTCCCGCCTGATCGGTCCACGTTAACCCACTCAAATACTACCCGTTTTGAGTATAACTCAATACTCGATCGAGTACCCACCAATACTCGGTCGAGTACAGGAGACAGGAGCCCGTAAGGCTAATTTCCAAGGCATACTCGATCGAGTACCTATCCATACTCGATCGAGTATAGGAGGCAGCAGCCCTTGGAGCCAATTTTTCAGCAGATACCCGGTCGGGTATTGTAGTTGACTTGGCGGTCAACGCCCGTTTGACCGCCCAAACGGAGTCCGATTAACGTGAAATTTTACATGCATATTCTACTTGAAGTCCTTGATCCAAAAATACCATTTTTGACTCCTGGATCATTGTACAAAATAAGTTATCACATTTTTAATCACCAAACATACAAAACATGCCTTTCAACTTTGTTTTATATATAATCATGGCATAAGCCCATACTTGATCAACTTTAATCATTCCGTAAAACATATCCTTGATTACTTTAGGTAATCTCATGCCTCAATCAAAAGTTATAAAGCATATAGCCGTCTTCTCACCTCAAAAGAAGCTTATGAAGTTCTAGCCTTTCTTATTGAGCTCCGGTGAAACTCCGGTGAACTTCAACGAACTCCGGCGACACTCCGGGGACCCTTTCAACTCCGTGAAAGTCCTTGAAGTACCTTATACAAGTTAACAACAAGGTTTTATCATCATAAAACCCATATCAACACAAATAACCTCTAAAAGGTTATTTTCCGACGAACCGGTCAACTTTGTTCTCTAAATCCGTTTTGGATATGAACCAACCTTCCAACCCTTCATTCTTCCCATATAACATGTAGAATGGTCCTAAGGGTATGAAATATGACCATATAATCATATTGGAAGGTTAATGAAGAGGGATGAGATTAATGGAGTTATTACCTTGTTAATCCTCAAGTTTTCCTCCTTCTTTCTCTTTTCTTTCCCCTCCTTCTTCTCCTTAAGCTTTGGTTCGAATATGGTGGATGAAAATGGAGATTTTGATGAGCTTCTCTCACTTGGTTGATGCTGGATACGAATGGGATTAGTTGGTGTGATTGAGAATGCCATTTTGGCATCTCTCACAATAATACTATGGCAAGGGTCCCACCTTCCAATTGATTGAGCTCTCAATCAATTTTCCTCCTTGTTTCTCCATGTCCTTGTGCGGCTCCCATGGTCATTTGCAGCACCAAATTCGTGGGGTGGCCCCCACTTATGTGGGAGGTCATCCCTTTATGTCCCCAAGTGTACACTTGGTCCCGAAAGTTGTATTTTCCGGACTGTTTTAACTATATTTCATTTTATCGGGTCAAATGAAATATTTATCATTCTTCCAATTATTATTGGCTATTAGAATGAATATATATTCCCCAACTTTAATTTAATGGTTCCCATAATTTATTATGGCTTTTCATCTGATATTTCTTCTGTACCGATAAATGGGCTTTATTTGCCCAAAAGGTTGCTCACATAACTTCTATGGCCCAACAAGGGTATCCACCATCATATACATATTATCTAGACCCAGATGAATATAATATGTGGTCCCGATAATATCGGGCAGCCCCCACTTCCGGTGTGGGCCCCACGTGAATTTTACTATTCACGTAAAAGAAATGATAAGAATTCACAATCACGTAAAATGCGTTTATTCATTTCTTGGGTTCAATACGTAATTTTGATAAAGTACAAATACTTGGGGGCGGTGTTACAAGGAAAAAACCTTGGTGTGATCACTGCAAGAAATTGTGGCACACCAGGGAAACATGCTGGAAAATTCATGGAAAGCCACCAGGAGCTGGAAAGAAGAAATTTGAAAGGGCTCTACAAACTACTGTGACTGAGACTCAACAAGAGTCAGAGGTTGACTCTAAACAGCTGCCTTTCACAAATGAACAGATAGACTACCTTCTTCAGTTTCTACCTACCCAAAAAATCTTCAATCAAGAAAATCCTTCTTGTTCTTTTGCCCAAAATGGTAAAATTACATCATACTTTTGTTCTAAAAAACCAAAAAGTACCTGGGTCATTGACTCAGGTGCAACAGACCATATGACCTTCATTCCAAATTTTTTTTCTTCATATCAACCTTGTGCAGGAGATAAGAAAGTTAGAGTTGCAGATGGCTCTTTTTCAGCCATAGCAGGGATGGGAAATATTAAAGTATCTTCATCCATTAACCTTTCTAAAGTCTTACATGTTCCAAAACTTTCCTGCAATCTTATCTCTATTAGCAAAATAACCAAAGATCTTCAGTGTTGTGTAAGATTTTATCCTTCTTATTGCCTTTTTCAGGATCTGGCATCGAGGAGGATGATTGGCAGTGCTAGAGAGGAGAATGGACTATATGTCTTTGATGAAGGAACTGCATTGAATAAACAAGATCCAGAAAAAACTTGTCTGCAAACTATTTCCTTTCCTTGTAATAACGAAGTGTATTTAATGCACTATAGGTTAGGTCATCCCAGTTTTTATTATTTAAAAAAATTGTTTCCTAAATTATTTCATAATAAGGATCCTTCATCATTTCATTGTGATATGTGTGCACTTGCCAAACATCATAAGAGTTCTTATATCCCTCATAGTTACAAACCAACTAGTCCTTTCACCCTTGTGCACAGTGATATATGGGGTGCATCTAGGGTTTCAACCTTGAAAGGAAAAAGATGATTTGTAACTATTATTGATGATCACACACGAGTAACATGGGTTTTCTTAATTAAAGAAAAATCTGAGGTTGAAGATGTGTTCAAAAAATTTTACTCAAGGGTCCAAACTCAGTTCAATACCAATATCAAAATGGTAAGAAGTGATAATGGTCTTGAGTATTTTTCTAAAAATTTAAACAATTTTTTTGCTGAAAAGGGGATTATTCATCAAAGTTCCTGCATAAATACACCTGCTCAGAATGGAATAGCTGAGAGGAAAAATAGACATTTGCTTGAAGTTACTCGTGCAATTATGTTCTCTACTGGGGTTCCAAAATATTTATGGGGAGAGGCTGTTTTGCATGCTACCTATTTAATCAATAGGATGCCTTCAAAAACTCTAGGATTTAAAACTCCTATTGATACACTTCAAAACTGTTTTCCTCAAACTAGACTTATTAACTCTCTTCCCATAAAGATTTTTGGCTGCACAGTTTTTGTTACAAATCCTGATAGAACTGCAAGCAAATTTGATCCTAGAGGCAAAAAATGTATTTTCTTAGGACTGTCTTCAACACAGAAAGGCTATAAATGTTTTGATCCTACAACAAAAAAGATGTTTATCACAATGAACACTAATTTTGTTGAAAATCAACCTTTTTTTAATAATACTCATCTTCAGGGGGAGAATTCTAGTGAAGATGGTAATACTGTTCAACATATTCATGAAAATCTTGAGTTTCTTGACATTAATCTAGATGCGCATCATAACAGAATTTTAGATGCACTAGAAAATAGTCAAGAATCAGAAGAAAATGAAATAAATATTCCTGAAACAAGGGAAGGAGATGAGCAGCAGACAAGTAAATTCTGGGGCAAAGTTTATGAAAGGAGAGTTCCAAATCAAAGAATAGAGAACATCTCTGACCCTGCAACTGCTCATGAATCTGACTCAGTGTCAGAAAGTGACAAAGGTAATAACTCTAGTGATCTAAATCTACCAATTGCCCTCAGAAAAGAGAGAAGGTCATGTGTTAAATACCCCATCTCAAACTATGTGTCTAATTCTCAATTATCAACATCATTTGCAGCCTTTACCTCTAGTCTTTCCTCTATTTCTATTCCCTTAACTATCCATGAAGCTCTATCTAAACCTGAGTGGAAGAAGGCTGTTTTGGAGGAAATTGATGCTCTTGAAAAGAATCAGACATGGCAGGTTGTAGAATTACCCAAGAACAAACCAACAGTGGGATGCAAATGGGTATTTACTCCCAAATTCAAGGCAGATGGAACAGTTGAAAGATATAAGGCCAGATTAGTAGCCAAAGGATATACACAGACCTATGGAATAGATTATACTGAAACTTTTGCTCCAGTTGCAAAGTTAAATACTATAAGAATTCTTCTATCCTTTGCTGCTAACCTAGACTGGCCACTTCAACAGTTAGATGTAAAGAATGTCTTCTTAAATGGGAAACTTGAAGAGGAAGTATACATGAGCCCTCCTCCTGGGTTTGAGGGTCAGTATGGCTCAAAGGTGTGCAAGTTGGAAAAGGCCTTGTATGGACTTAAACAGTCCCCAAGGGCTTGGTTTGGCAGGTTTACTCAATTTATAAAGAGACAGGGATTCAAACAAGCTCAAGCAGATCATACTCTCTTTATGAAGTTTTCAAGTAAGGGGGAGATTGCAATATTAATTGTTTATGTTGATGATATCATTCTTACAGGAAACTTCTATAAAGAGATAGAAGACTTGAAGAAAAAGATGGGCCAGGAATTTGAGATTAAAGACTTGGGAGAATTGAAGTACTTTCTTGGCATGGAGATAGCCAGATCAAAGAAGGGGATTGTAGTGTCCCAGAGGAAGTATGTACTAGATCTTCTTCATGAAACTGGTATGAGTGCTTGCAGACCAATAGATACTCCGATTGATCCTAATCAAAAGTTAGGAGATGTCAAAGAAGGAGTTCCAGTTAATGTTCAACAATACCAAAGATTAGTGGGAAGATTGATCTATCTGGCACACACGAGGCCAGATATTGCCTTCTCAGTTAGTATGGTGAGTCAATTTATGCATAATCCATTCCAGGAACATCTTGATGCTACCTACAGAATCTTAAGATATTTGAAAAGCTGTCCAGGGAAAGGATTATTTTTTAGAAAGGGCAACAATAGAAGAGTTGAAGCTTTTACAGATGCAGACTATGCTGGCTCAGTTACTGACAGAAGGTCAACATCTGGGTATTGTACTTATGTTTGGGGGAATCTGGTGACCTGGAGGAGTAAGAAGCAGAATGTAGTTGCTAGAAGTAGTGCAGAATCTGAATTTAGATCTATGGCTAATGGAATTTGTGAACTACTTTGGATCAAAAGGGTAATTTCAGAATTGAATATGGAGATGGAACTACCTATGAAGTTATACTGTGATAATAAGGCAGCTATCAATATTGCTCACAATCCTGTGTTACATGATCGTACTAAGCATATTGAGGTAGACAGACACTTCATCAAAGAGAAGATTGAAGCTGGGATTGTGTGTACTCCATTCATATCAACCAAGGAACAAACTGCTGACATTCTAACAAAGGGACTGTTCAAACCAGCATTTGAACTACTTATAAGCAAGTTGGGAATGTATGATATATACTTACCAACTTGAGGGGGAGTGTTAAAAAATGTGACATATTATTGTATTTTTTATTCTATGTACATCCGTTGCTGTATAGATTAGAATTAGAGCTGATAGATAGCTTTAATTAGTAGATAAGAACGTAGATAGATAGATCCTATTTTTTAGGATCTGAAACAGAATAGTTGTTATCTATACTCTGTATAAATACTTCAGCCGCATGGCTCAATATAATTCAAGGAAGATTAATTCCTCAAACTTACAGTAAGAATGTAAGATTAAATTTATCTTATTAAAGAAGATTTCATCATCATCACCACCATTACCCCAGTTCCGCAAAGGCTCCCACCTACCGTTGGGCGTAGCTCAACTGGTAGCGAAGGCTCCCACCTACCGTTGGGCGTAGCTCAACTGGTAGCGAAGGCTCCCACCTACGGAGGGTGGGGGTGGGGGGCTCAAATGTACGCAATCCTACCCCTGTAAAATATAATCTTTCTTTATTCCATTAATAAAATATATTTTATGTATTTTTTCATAAATAAACACATTCAACCAATTCAACAACTTCCGCCATAATTCCAACAGATTCTTGTTCAACCAATTTTCGGTTTTATCAGATGGGATTTTACTAGATTCTCATCTATGCTACCAAAACAAACAATCTTTAATTATGCATTATTACAATTTAATTATAAGAACTGCATATACAATATATTATAGCTTTATAAGAACTTTGTGAAGCATTACATAAACTATTTAAGAAACCATACTTACATCTATACGGGGCTTAACATATACATGTACATATATATACACTCTGTCCTCCGGCGATCGGGGGCGGCGGCACCTGCTCGCACCTCCTAATTCCGTCCCTGAATGTAATCTACTACCATTTAAAAAGAAGCTGGATTCATGAAATAAGGATGTTTTTAATTGGATTGTTATTTTTGGGTGTGGTCTGATCCGGTAGATATGTGTTTTATGAGTATTTCACCATTGTGGAAGTCCAATATGGTCTATTTAAGTCTGTTCTGATCAAGTCTCGGTCTAAAATCAGTCCAATTAAAAACATCTTAAATTTTTTATTTTAATAATGACAAATACACGAATTTTTATGTGATGAGTACTAAGGAGTATTTAACATAAAATTAAGTAAAACATAGGCAAACAATCTAATCCTCTACATGTTCAAAAAATTTAAATTAAAGGTTTATTTAAACATTGGCTTAAAGACAATAAATTATTATAAACTCAAAAACCTAATAGCGTACTTATACGGTTATACACTTATAGCAGTCTGTTAAATACAAATATACAATTATTTTAATTACTCAATAATTTCATTAAATAAAAACAACCAAGTTTGTAATTAAAAAGAGAAAGGTCAGAAAACCTAGAGGATGGAGGCTGCGAGCGCGGAGGCGCGGTGGGGGGGTTGGCACGCTGGCGGCGATCGAGGCGTCTTCCCTTTGTAGCGGGGAGAGTCAGTTGCCTATTGCGTATTGGAAATTCCCCTCGCCGGAGTTAGACGCGATTGAAGGGTTCCCTCTTCCAATCCTCTGGCGGTGAGGCTTCGTAGACACTGCTCAAATTCGGAGCCCCTTCAGTCACGGTCTCCTGCAAACCGGGGGCTGAGCTCCTCTGCCGTATGAAGGATAATAAGGCTCCTCTCTTTCCGAAGAGGACATTCTCAGACTGGAGTCCTGTGCAGATTTTAGCCTCCCCGTTTAGTGAACATCAACGTGGGCCTAACCCATTAGGCAAATGGCAGTTAGGCTCTCATCAATTTTGACAGGGCAGAAATTATTCAAAAGCTAAGTGCTCTATAATTTCATATACGAAAATAAATTTGATAAAAAGATATTATGTTTTTCATAAACTGAAAAATAATTGATATAGTATCACTCTAATCTCGGGGTTAGTCATCCCGAATATCAAATTCAAACTACACATTCCAAGCGATTAGTTGAGCTATATCATTATTATTATTTTTTATTGAGTAGTGTGCATTTTTTGACATTGAAGAACGGACTTATGAACACACAAATACACCTGATCGAGTACTAAGTGACATCAGAAGAGTCATGGGCACAAAGGAGGCATTGAAGACATGAGATATGACTTATGACAGGAATGTTACAAGAGTCCTATAATTAGAGCCATTAATTACAATAATTAAATCTCCCATTAATTGTATAATACAACACATATAAATACTCTTATACATATCTTGTAATAGGGGAGACTCTTCAAGATCAATAAGACTGTTATTTCTTTCTTTCCTACGATCAATAAACATTTCATTGATTAAACTATTTTCGTTGAAATTATATTTCATCATTTATTTTACCTAAAAACGTGTGAAGAGTTGAAGACAAATTGGAAACTTCGTTACCGCACGATGGAGCATGAATATAGTTAAAACAATTCTCCTAAACAATGGTGTGTACAAATAGCATTAGTGCAACAATAAATAGAAGTGTATAATGCATTGATCGAATAGAAAACAAAGGCAAGAGGAGAGCAGCGAAGTTTTGGAGAGCCGGCCCCAGGGGAAAGCCTAACCGGCCATCCCCAACCTCCTTTAAGATCTAATTTTCAACCTTTTCTTTTTCAATCAGCAAAAAAATTTGGAAGATGGTGACATTCTCTATGCAGTGAAAGATCGAATCAAAGGTTTTTCAATGCTTCCGCTCTTTTTTAATTTCTATTTTCGAGGATTTTGGTCCGGCTTCTTCATTGATCGAGAATTTTGTCCGCTTCATGTGAGCGTGTGGTATGTTATTCTCCTAGCAATGTCTAGTAGTTGCGTGTTTCTAATCGGTGCAATCGATCTGGTGAATTTTCGTTGTTCATGGTTGATAAAGCTTTTTCAACCTTGTTGTTCCGATGCTTCAAATACTCGCCCACCACCTGAATCACCGCCTCGCTCTGGGAAGAAGAAGATGATCAATTGGATCTCCTTTTCGGTGGCTGGTCAAACTGATGATTCAGAAAATTTCCGCTCTACTGGTTTTCCTTTGTTGGTTGCTGGTCAAACCAATTCTCCTTTTCCGGTGGCTGGTGAAGCCGAATCTTTTAGTTGTAATTTTTTATTTTCTCTTTGTAATAGCAAGAAGAGCAACAAGGCAGTTAGACTAAACTTCATTATTTCGGGGTTAGTGATCTAGAAGGATTCATTGGATCTGTTCCATTCTATGTCTCATCTCATTGTAGACTTAGACTATTCATTATCTTGTATATTTGCTATCGTTTAATAATAAATTAGTTATTTGATTTTCAAAAAAATGCATTGACCGAATAGCAAAAGATTGTGGATACTTTTCAGATATAGAGTAACTAAGTAAAACTTGGGAGAGTTACCCAATTTTAAAACTCCATTATTAGGACTTATTATTTGTGATTTAACAGAATATCCTTGTAGGGTTTGAAGCAGTGTAGCTGTCAGTCTGTCACAATGTCAGACCATCGCCGCTGGTCACCAGAAGCACTCTGTCGCTCGCTGCTGCCAGTTTTCTGTCGGTTAAGTCATTAATAGCTTGGTCGCCAACATTCATTCACCTTCATTGCTCAACCCTCAGACCCTCTTATAGTGATCTTGTATTTCGGTTTAGCTAGTCAAGCCTTTGAAAATTAGTCTGTTTCGGATTTTGTAGAAGATAAATACAGAATAACAACGCTTTTTTGGAGACCGTTTGGTAACCCTATTTTCCGGTTTATCATTAACATCCGAAAAGCTTGGTCATTAAGAGTTTGGTAACCCTATTTTGTCGGTTAAGTCATTAAAAGATTGGTCGCCAACCGTCATTCACCTTCATTACTCAACCCTCATACCCTCTTATAGCGATCCTGTATTTCCGTTCAGCTAGTCAAGCCTTTGAAAATTAGTCTGATTCGGATTTTGTAGAAGATAACTACGGAATAACAACGCTTTTTTGGAGCCCGTTTGGTAACCCTATTTTTCGGTTTATCAGTCAACTTTTTCACCAAACACGTAAATTTTGATTTCGCGCGTTGAACCGTGTAATAAAAGAAAAGTTATAGTTACTTTTCTGGTTGTAATGGTTGAAGTTCCTCTAGAGGATCATTTTAGCTATTTTTCCTATGCGAGTAATTTTTTAGTATTTTATTAATCAAACATATTTGAAATATTTTTTCCATAAATATGCAAAATCAGCTAATACGGGCGATTTGGGTATTACCAAACGGGTCCTCGATCCATTCATGAAATATGAGGATGTTAAGGCTATGGCATATTTCAAAAAAGAACACAGAACTATACAATATGACACAACCAACAAAACTTGAAGTATTCTAAATAAAGTGTTTTTCAATAATATCTCAAGTCCATACATGATCTATATGACTATCTGCATTAAGAATATGCCTTTTGTATTAAATTTACATTTTATTGGTTTGAGATTAATTTTTTTCATACATTTATATTTAAATGTATAATTATATGAAATATAATTTAGTCCCCCATACATGAAATCATACTTTTAATCTCTCAAATAGTACTGATATTGAAATGTAATCCCTGTGTTTTCGAGTTTGTAATTGTCACCCTTGAACTGTCCAAATTACTGTAAATGTGGTCCTTTGAGGGTGAAATGTACAATGAGGGCGATGACTAAATTTACACCGATTCGGATAATTGAAAAATTACATTTACACAGTTGGGAACACGGGGAATTATATTTCCATATCGATACTATTTAGAGGACTAAACTTGCGATTTTTCCTTTATATTTTACCACTTATAATCTCTTGTGTAATATGTGGAGATAACATTGTGCTCTTGCATCCCAAAGCTTATATATACTAGTAGGATACCTAATACCTATTTAGTATTTGTTTATGTGAAATAAAAGATATACTTTAAATGAGTAGCATACATTTAGAAAAATCACCCATTTGAAGTTTTGAACTATTGTTTAAACATTCAATCTTATACTACTGTGAAATTCTTTATAGGGAAAGTTCTCGAAATAGGACCAAAACAGTTTGAAAATTCTAAAATAAGACCACCATGTTTTTATTCCCAAAATAGGACTAATTATTGCCATGTTTTGGCAGTACCAGACTTCAAACATGATAGTATTTTTCAAACTTGACAATAATTACTCCTATGTTGGGAATAAAAACATGGCAGTCCTATTTTGGAATTTTCAAACCTTTTTAGCCCTATTCTGGGTAATATTCTTTTCTTTATATTATATATAGTATCTATTACGAAATATTATTTAAAACAAGAAAAAGGGTCAAATACACTGTTCTACAATTGCAAATCGATCACTTAAACCCAAGTACTATGAAAAGGGTCATATAGACTCGTCTCCACTAAAAAAACAATAAATCCAGCCAAAATATATGAAGGTTACCTTTAATAGCAGATTAGCAGGTCATTCTCATTTTCTCTCTCTGATATTTATATTTTACATTTTCCTTTTATTAGTTTAGGCCACAATTCCCACCATCCGAATGTCTGTAGTTAGCTTAACCAAATTTTCATAAAAATATATGTCCTTCTACAATTGCAAATCGACCATTTAAACCCTTGTACTATAAATCCATCTACTTTAAAAAAACAATCAATCCAACCAAAATATATGAGGTTACCTTTAATAGTCGCCCCTGAGAATCCGTGAATGGAAATACACAATTGTTATGCTAATATTTGCTTTGAAATATATCTATCATTGTAAATATCACACCATTATTATTTACTTCAAATAAATTTGTAATAGTTTTGTTAAAATGTTACTAAAACAAAATATATTATTTGTACTATTACATATGTAATAATTACATATTGGGTTTTTTTCTAAAAAATGTTACTAAAATAAAACATATTATTTGTACTAATAAACTATAATAAACGTAATTATAATAAACTACATTTATTGCTACTATTATATTGGACAAATAAACTACGTAGTACTTGTGAAAGATGAAATTTGTAATTATTAGATATTTATGATTGTGACTAGTGATTAGAGTAGTGATAAAATCATATTAGCTTATGTTCAAATTCTAAAATTAAGTTACCATGATATTACATTGCAGTAACTATTAGTCATATTTATGTAAATATGTTTTATTTTAGTAATATTTTTGAAAACCCCCGTGAAAGATTCAAAACTTCTATTAATATTATTTATATTTTTTAATATATAAATATTATTTTCACATATTGACCATCCAATTCTAAACATTTTTTTATGTAGTGCTGCCTATTAATTGAGGGTGTTTTCTGAAAACACGGGGAAACTCAACATTGAAGCAAAAAACAGAGGAAAAAATATAGGGTTTCTAAAAACACGAAATTCGGAAGAAGACATTCTGAATAGATTAGGGTTTCCAGCTAAAAGAGACAATCTTAGTGGGACGGAGGGAGTAGACACACACATACATAGACACTATTAATTTTAAAAAGTACCTTACTGGATGGGGTAGAGACTAGAGGGGGGAGGGGGGTTTGGCTGGGGTAGAGACCTAGAGCAGGGGGGCTTTGTTTATATACGAAGGCGTGTGTGAGTTGCTGAAATGTTTAAAACTTTTGACCAATTCTCTGCTCTGTGTATCTGTTTGTAGAAATAGCTTTTTTGAGAAATTATTTCAACTTCAAAGTACCTTTACAAAAAAAACTCTTTATTTATACATTTCATTTCTTTTTCTTTTTTGATGATCCTGGTGTCGGTGCTCTTACTATGTCACTTGCCACTAAATAATGCAATAAAAATGAAAAATAAAAAAACAAATATGAGAAAATTAAGGATGACCTACTATAAGAAAATTTAGGTATTTTGTTGTTTATTAGAGTAAATGAGTTTATATGATCTTTTTATAGTACATAAGTTTAAGTGATTGTTCTGCAATTGTATATGTGTGTATTATTTGACTCTTTTTCCTTCAAAACATACTACGTTATATAGACACACATACACAGACAATATTAATTTTAAAAAGTACCTTACTGGATGGGGTAGAGACTAGAAGGGGGAGAGGGGTTTGGTTGGGGTAGAGACCTTGAGCAGGGGGCTTTGTTTACATACGAAGGCATGTGTGAGTTGCTGAAATGTTTAGAACTTTTGACTAATTCTTAGCCGTTGATCAAATTCGTGAAGGTAGGAAGAATCATTAGGAGCAAGACCTCTCTCATCTTCCCTTTGGTGCATAGCGGGTTTCGAACACGGGACCTCACATATACACCGAAAACCTCACAACCAGTTGGGCTGGTATGCTCGATTACATTTCATTTCTTAAATGCATTAAGCTTTACACCTCACTTTTTAGGATAAAATTGAACCACTCTGGTATTCAAGAATAATAATGTGTGCATTTCATTAGATAAAATAATTATCTAATGGTCCCAATCTAATAACTTTTCTTTTACTTTCTTAAACCTTCCAACCCTCTCGGGATCTCCCCAACACTCTACCCACAGTTTTTCATCTTTTAAATGAACTCCTCCTTTTTAAAATGATACCCATGGTTCTCATGCGAAAAAAATTAAATAAGACTAAAATGGGGAGCAGATCGGTCAATCCTGGTCCCAAAATGTGAGACCCGAGACCCTTTCCTTCTGGTCCGTTATCCATGTCAGGCATTCAAAAATCAGTTGATTCCACTCTTTGCCGGTCTAATATATAATATAATGTTTATAACTAATAACGAGTTGATCCTTGTATAACTAATATATAATATAATGTTTATAATATATAATATATAAATATATTACTATAAGATGAATAATACACTTAAATTTAATACTTTAATATATATAAGTAAATAACAATAAGTATAGATAATAAGTAGATATCAAAGTAAATATTAAGAAGATAATAAGTATATATTAAGTGGGGTGAGATCACATACAAACTATTCCTCCCATGCTAACCTACAAACAGTCACAAAATGTGCATCTTCACATTATTTGTACTGCATATTATAGTTCAAAGTGTTGCATATCATTTGTATTGCATATTTAAGTTCAAAGTGTTGCATATTATTTCTATTGCATATTGAAGTTCAAAGTGTTGCATATTATTGAGTTTGTAGGTTAGTATTTTAAGCATGATTTGTATTTGATCTCTTGTCTATATTAAGTAGATAATAAATATTAGTAATATAATATATGTATATATATAAGTAGATAATTAATATATAAGTAGATATATATAAGTAAGTAACAATAAGTATAGATAATAAAAGTATAGATAATAAGTAGATATCAAAGTAAATATTAAGAAGATGATAAGTATATATTAAGTAGATAGTAAATATTAGTAATATATATATATATATATATATATATATATATATATATATATATATATATATAGAGAGAGAGAGAGAGAGAGAGAGAATTGGAAAAGATGAAGATGGAGAAGACTGAGTATTTGAGTTATTGAGTATGAGAGAATTAGAGAATAGAGAATAGGATTGTATGAATATGGTGTAAAAAATGTATAGAAAATAGGAGTACATATAGGATTTTTTGGTAACCCCCCAAAACCCCCCGGACCCCCCCTCTTAGGCCTCCAACGGCTATAGAGCCGTTTGAGAATAGTCCCAACGGCTAGGAGGCCATTTATTATTTAATTTTTTTTAAAAAATTATAGCCGTTATGGCCCGGACCGGGCCGGTTCATGAT